TAGAAAAATGAGGGACATTTAAGGTCATCAATGCACTCCCAAAATCTGACCAAGTAAGACCACGAATTTCCCTTGGTAGAAATGGCTTCTTGGAGCTTCAAGGAAGTGTATAAATGGTTCCAATCACTCCCACAAGGAAAGGCACCCCACATAAACGAAATGAACCTTCAACAACCCCCAAGGTAGAGCCTAAACACCACAAAATAGTGGCAATGGTAGACCAAGAAGTGATTTTTCCCTTCCCTGCAAGGTTGCTCAAGTGTTTACAAAGTTTGGATGAGAGAAAGAGGGCAAATGTGAGAGATTGAGTGGGTTCTTTGAAGAGAAGGATATGGCACTATGGTGAAGAAAAAATGGCTGCCACAACATGGACAAATGGGGCTGTTGATAAGGTGTTCAAAATGCTCTAGGGTTGTGTGCTATTTTCTATTTATAACTACACTCACTTAAATGAACAATATTAGTTCTATTAGTTCCATTCCTCGTTTAACTCTAAAATTTTATGTTTCAACCTATAAATATTTCTAGAAATTATCATATGTTTATTATAACTTTTTGAGACATTTCATCGATACACATTTTATACTGTGAAATACCCGGTATTAGCTCACATGCCACACTCACTTAAATCTATAATAATTTCACACTACAGTGTCTTATAAACTTTATGATGCATAAATCTATAATTTTTTTCAGTTCCGAGTATTTTTCTATACACACAGTTTCTATCGCGGCACCCGCAGTACAAGCAATTTTCACCAAAAATGACTAAATTCCAATATTAATATTTCCTAATAATATTATCATAATTATTTTTTTTGTCATTAACATCATAAAATTGATGGAATAATAGTTGCTAATTATCTTTAAGTTTCGGGCAATTTTGCCTACTGCGTTTTTACCGCGAAACCTTCAATATTTATTCTTTTCTTAAAAGGTGCTTTAATCTTAAATTAATTAACATAAGTAAAGCTTCCATTTAATAATCCTCACTTAATTACTATTAAATTTCTAAAATTATAATTTAATGGAGCAGGTTCTTACATATATCCTCTTGCTCCTGCAGTAACATTGTGTATTTAAAAAAGAAAATCCTTATTTGACATTTGACCACCTATATCATCCTACTCGTGATCCTGAAGTATCAGTGAACGTTTTGTAATCCTTATTATTATTCAAGAATTTAAGAAATTCTCATTATGTTATGGAAACTATTGAAAAGCCAAAATTTCATATCCTCGAAGTGCAATGGAAATAATTATAATTTTAGACCTGTTGGTTCAAAATTAAAATCCATGAACCACTATCAAAATAACATTATGTAAGATTTGCTGATTCAAAAGCATTGCCTGAAGCAAATGCAAACTTTATAAAGACTCTAGCCATTTTGAGGGATATGAATGTAGACAATGATAAAAAAATCTTACCTGGTGTCAAATCATGACAAAGGAAATATGGCTAATGAAATGAAGGTGGCTATTTAAAATAAAGGCAAGAATGATAAAAATCTCATGCCATCGAAAATAAGCATAAAGCCAATTTGCTGGGACAAAAATTTTGTTCCCATCGACAACGTTTTTGCTGCGGAATGCCGGTCGTTCCGACCCCTTCAGTATATTTATGTTATATATATTAGTATGTATGCAATAATTGTTGAGTTGTGAGAAGGAAATGACCTTGAGTACGGAGAAGTAAGAAAAGAGAAGGAAATATAATGTCTAAGTAGTCCTTTACTTTAATTTTTTGATTCCACCAACGGCTGATTTTTGCTTTTTGCAGAGTATTGCATTGAAAAGCACCGAAAAGGATACCAACGCACACAGTAGAGCGGAAAATGTTGCTGGACATGTCTAAGTGTCAGAAAATTTTCTTTGGAAAAGCAAAGTAGAGATGATAGCTCAGCCCTATCTTTATCACCTAAAATCATTGCTCTTCGTCTCATCAAGAAAGATGAGACGTCCTCAATCCAACGGTGCTGGTGCTGGGAACGACTCTTGATAATAACAAGAATCCCACCACTTCACTTGCCCAATAAATAAAAGATCAAACAAAGACAAATAGGATAATTTTAGCAAGATCATTATTTTCCGAAGCAAGCTTTCTCTGGAACAACACTATAATCTTTTCTCTTCTTCATTAAGTCTCCACACGAGCAATTCTTCATCAAATTCTCCATTTTTATTTTACCACTGTTATATTGAGTCTCTATTTTTATGTTATTACTATGAGTATGTAATTCCTTTTCTTTCTTCTTTGTCTTTACTGTGAGTATGTAATTCATTTTCTTTCTTCTTCATCTTTACCAATTTGTATCTCGGGGTTAACGTATGTATTTTCAGCCATGTCTTTATGCATGAGCTAATTTCCTTTTGGAATGGTTAATTTGCTTTCTCTGGAACAACACTATAATCTTTTCTCTTCTTCATTAAGTCTCCACACGAGCAATTCTTCATCAAATTCTCCATTTTTATTTTACCACTGTTATATTGAGTCTCTATTTTTATGTTATTACTATGAGTATATAATTCCTTTTCTTTCTTCTTTGTCTTTTTATGCATGAGCTAATTTTCTTTTGGAATGGTTAATTTGTAAAGCAGTTAAATCACTAATCTCTATTACTAAATCTAACGCACTAATCTCTATTACTAAATCTAACGAACTTTTGTTGTTTATGTTTTTTAATATCTTGTATTAATGGAAATTGAACATGACTGAGAAAGAAACTTCATACTAATTTTAATATCTTGTATCAATGGAAATTGAACATGACTAAGAAATAAACTTCCTTAAGGAAGAGATTTCAGACTACTGAACAATAGAATAGGAGGAAGTGATTTTAATATCTTGTATCAATGGAAATTGAACATGACTAAGAAATAAACTTCCTTAAGGAAGGGATTTCAGAGTACTGAACAATAGAATAGGAGGAAGGTGAAGAGTGTGGAAACGCTTTCATTGGTTATCTTAAGAATAAGAAGGAATCACCTCGTTCACTAAAGATTATATATTGAGTAATTGTTGGGAACAAAGTTGCTATATGAATATGGGTTTTTTGTTTTTTTTTGGATTACAAAAAGTTTAAGTGGGGTTAGACACCGGTATCCCACTAGGGTCAGGGAAGACCTCCCAACCTCTTTGAGGATTTCTGGGAGGGATTACATATTACCCACCAACAAAGTCCTCACATCGGTCAGCAGGGTTTGAACCCACGCCCTTGAGGGGTATGGACCAAACCCTTAGCCAACTGTGCCCACCTTTGTTGGTGGAATATGGGGTTTTATATACCATTTTAGCCCAAAAACTTAAGAAATCCAGCTTTGAAAGAGAAATATGGGTTTTATATACCATTTTAGCCCAAGAACTTAAGAAATCCAGCATTGAAAGAGGCTTGAATAAGTCCATTGAATAAGGTCTTGAGCCTACATTACAGCTGGTTTAATAGTGACTTAGTGCATTTATTCATTTTCTTTTAACTGTCGTTCTACTTTTTTTTTTTTTTTTGATAACAACTGTCGTTCTGCTTATCATTACACCTATGTTGTTTCATGAACTTCTTATTTATTTATTTATTTTTTTCTACGTATCTTTAGTTTATTTCACACTACAAAACAATTACTATTTCTTCCAATAATTTATCGTTCCTCCTTGTTATGGCATCAAATCTGTGTCGGCCCCCTATTATTATCCGTTTACTCCTCTTTCAAATTTGAAATTGCATCAAATCTTCCTCCACTTGAATGCTGCCCCTTAATTTCTGTAACTGCTGGATTAATGGTATGAGGTGTAACGGCTCCACTAACAGCTATGTGGTTTAATCCTTGTCCAGCCTCTTGCGTAACGGATATTTTCTGTTGCCTCCTGGTTTCGTAACCGTCATCAGTCGATGCTAACAATCATCAATTCCATAATCGTAATCATCATCAATGCTGCAATTGTAACCATCATCGTTGTAATCATCATTAATTCTGCAATTGTAACCATCATCAATACTAACACACAGTAAATGAATTAATATAGATGTAACTTCCTCTAAATTTTTAATATACTTTTGTAAGTTTTCAGAATTTTGGTACATCAAGTAGTATTTAACACATATTGTTTCTACTGACAATTCATATAATAGTTGTATAAACGTAATTATAGGTTACGAGTTATCTATATATAATTGCGTAAAAATTGGAAGGAGTTATAATCTTAATCTAAAACATTTTTAAATAAGTTTTAGATATTTGATTAGTATATTTTAAGACAACATTATTTATTTACTTAAGTGATTAATTAAATATTTAAATTATTTAAAAGTCTTATATTAATTAATTAAATTATTAAATATTTATTTCATATATTTAGAATTTAGAGGGATTTACACCTATATCAATTCATTTATTTTGGATAATCTTATATTTAGTTTTTGTTTTAATATCAACTGTAGGGAAACTAAATTAGTAAGTACGTACCCACGCATTAAAAAAAATTCAAATATTTACAAAATCGACAATCGAACCTTAAAATAGGATGAAACTTTTCTAATTAATGTATTTAAACTCTTTGATCACCTACTATCTTCTTCACAATTTCAATTGAATTCATAATTAATACTGACATACCAAGATAGTGCACCACCAGGCTTAGCCTAGTGGTATGTATGTGTGTTAGGAGTGTATGTAGTGTAGTTTGTTGTGTTCAATTTCTTGTAACCTCTAAAAAATAAAATAAAAAAAATAGTCCATCTGACTGTATATGGAGAACATCTACAGTGCATCGGATGTATCTTATTCATTATGTAAGACATAGTGCAAAATATAAAAGTTGTTTTTATTTTTCTCTTTCCAGTACAATATACGCTGATGTGGCACACTTCTATCTCTATAGATTTTTCACTATATATGATATCTGCATAAACGTGATAACCTAAGTTTTCGGAATTCAAGTGTGGCCGCTGCGCATCAGTGGGAGCTATCTAATCCATGGGTTCGTATTTTCGCTTGAGGAGGGTAGAAATGATTATTATCATATTGCTTTGCTTATGTTTTACAATCAACAACTTCAAAGTCGATGGGTGGATGCCAAGTATATCCAAAGATGAATATTTGGATTTGGAGCAACAATTGAAACTCATCAACAAGCCACCAATTAAGACTATTCAAGTATCATAATTCTCATCCTTTTTGAAATCCATTTTCCTAAATTTTTTATCTAATAAGATAATTTTCATAGTTCTATTTGTTGTTTTTTGCAGACAGAGTTTGGACACATTGTTGATTGTATTGATATTAATAAACAGTTAGCTTTTGACAATCCTCTACTGAAGAATCATAAGCTCCAGGTATCATAATCAATAAAAGCAATGTATTTAAAAATGACTTCTCTTAATCTATATTTTATATTTTATTATTTAAATATCTAATTGCAGCTAAAACCTAGCTTCCGAGATACAACAACAAAAGTAAATTCCCATAATCTATCAACCAGACCCACAAAAATTGGACTTGAGAAAAACATGTGCCCAAGAGGAACGGTTCCCATTCGGAGGACAACCAAAGAAGATCTCATTCGTGCGAAATCATTATCAAATATTAATGGAATCCTTACTAAGGATTTGCCAGGGAGGCATGTAAGTTTTTTCTTTCATAAATAATTTAAACAATTTGAGACATCACTAATTTTTTTTTATTATTTCTGCTATCCATAATCTTAGACTATACATAACTCCTTAGTGAAACTTGAAATCTATTAACTTGTAAATTTAACTTGTTTGCAGTTTGCAGAAATGCATTTAAAGCAAGATAAAGATACATCTTATTATGGAGTCAGCGGAACGATTAGTACTTACAACCCAACTGTTACAAGTCAGGACCAAATGAGTGGTGCTTATATATGGGTTTCAACTGGAACAGATGATTCTATTAGTATTATCTTCACTGGATGGCAGGTTTTTTCTTTTTCTTTCTTATTCCCTTATTTCCCAATTTATCTTTTGAGTAAACACCTTTTTTAGTCCCTGTCAATATTGTCAATATTTACGAAGTCCTTTTTAGTCCCTGACAATAAAAAAAGACCAAATTGGTCCCTGAAATTACAAAAAATTACAAAAAAAAAAGGCCATGTTAGTCCTTATGTCAACTCCCAAATATGTAGAGTGACCCTTTTCAGGGACCAATTTGGTCCTTTTTTATTGTCAGGGACTGAAAAGGACTTCGTAGATATTGCCAGGGACTAAAAAAGGTGTTTACTCTTATCTTTTATTGACTCCAAGTATTTAGAAGTTTTCATATTTTAATTAAATTTTCGTGAAATAGACACACATTAGTAACGAGTTGAAGGAGTTAACTAAAAAGCAACACAGATTCTACTGATCGAAACAAAAATTATAGTGATAAATGAAGCAGCGAATGTGAGATTCTATTTAAAAATAATTACACATCTAATAAAAAAATATTTTTTAATACTATACATGGGAAACTATTTAATTTAATATTTTATTAGTATTAATAAAAAAATCTATATTATTTCCCATGACAAAAAGTTTAGCAATAAATCAAGTTTTTAAGATGGAATAACTCAGAAGATAAAAGAGACGATCTATTTATCTAATATCGCGGGAGAAATAATTAAGAAGGAATATGATTGTAATTTTAAAATATATTCCACTAGTACCTGTAAATTTCTTATAAATAACTTGATGTAGGAGATATAATAATGAAAGTTATTCTCTACAAAAAAATAGAGTTGGTTCTTGATATGATATCTCATATCTGAATCTTTATAATCAGGTAGTTTATAATTTGATCGCCCCTATTTTCCCAATATAAGTAATTCAAATTTGAAAGTGTTTTCCGTAAAAAGAATTCAATTTGAAAGTGTTTTCCGTAAAAAGAAATAAACTATTTTACTCCAACGTTTTATACTTCACAAATTTTAAACTCCAAAACAAAAAAAAAACTAATCCCGAGTGAAACTTAGTCACAGCTCTTCACAACTCCCCAAAAAAGTATTTGGTGGTAATCAACCATATTCTCTCCCTATTATACGTCCTTCCTTTTATTTTATTTTTTTTGTCTTCGCTTAGCCAACTCTGCTCCACATTACATTTGCGAGTTAAAATGTATAATACTTGTTCCATAATGATGTCAGGTATACCCAGCAATATATGGAGATAACAAGACTCATTTTTTCACATCATGGGTAAGAAAATATCCGAATTCGTATCTTTATGGATCGATCTATACTCATAAGATTATTTAGTCCGGAACTATTGTATCAAGCATTTTCATAACATTTTCAATTAGAAATGAACTTTGCAGCATTTGGCTCCTATTATTTTGCATGTTAATTTTCAATTTTGGTGATTATTAGAATCAATTTATTGTATTGCAAAAAAAAAAAAAATGCAGTCAGATGGTACCAGACATACGGGATGCTACAACCTGCTATGCTCAGGTTTTGTACAAGTAGACAAAGGAATTTATCTTGGCGCACCTGTGTCCCACACATCTACCTATGGTGGAACACAGTTCGGAATGGAACTCTCTCTATGGCTGGTAAAAGTTCTGATTGAGACACAATTTTATTTTATGTGCATGTTAGATTTTTAGACTATGATTTTAAAATTGCAGTTACCACGTGGAATATTGTTTCCGCAATAGGGCAGCATGACACAAAAATTAGTTATAATATAAAGCATTCTTCAATAAAATTGGGCTAAAAAATAAACATAGCATCAGATTAGTTCTTTTGGTAAAGTATGCATCACACATCACCCTCATTTGTAAAATACAAAAATTATCTACCATGTGTATGTTTTGCAAGATGCGCATAAAGGACGTGCACCACTTGATACGCAACATGCATTGTGTTGATTTTTGCACAAGTAGTGCATGGAGGTGATGCACGACTTTAAAGCGCACATACCATACGTGTTTCACTGCATTAGTTCGGTAAATAATTTATCAAAAGAACTAAACTGGTGTTATGTCTCTCTTTTTTGCATTAGAGTGTCAAAAAAGCCATAAAATTGATTTATTAATAGTCACCAATGAAATACATCAATAGAAGAAATTGCTCTGATGAACCAAAAACCACAATTCATTCAAATTTCACTTACATTTAACTTCATACACATTGACAAATGAACGTGAGATGTATGATATAAAAGTCATATTTTAGTAGCATTAATCCTCCAAGTAAGCTCTCCTTAGGAAAAGAAAATGCATATAATTAGACAATAATGATCGATTAGCTGAAAGTATGTGTTGCATGTATTCAATTATTTTTAAAAAAGTATTATTTTACTATTCTTCTATTCGTATGTATTAATTCTTTTTGTCGATATTCTTGAAATTTTTATCTTATTAAGTAGTATTGATCTAAAAAAGAATTCTTCTCTATGTCAGGATCCCCATACTAAAAATTGGTGGCTGAAGGTTTTTAAAAAGAATGTTGGATATTTCCCAGCTGCTTTATTTTCTAATATGGTTCCTGCGGATCAAGTTGGTTGGACTGGGTCAACAATCACTGATGTAGGTAGCCCTAGTCCTCCAATGGGATCTGGAGACTTTCCAAACGGTGATACCTCGCGTTCGTGCTATTTTAGACAGATTACATTTAGAAATGAAAATCAAATAGAACAAGGACCCTCAAAAGGTAACTGGGACACATTTTCGGACATCCCTAATTGCTATGATGTGAAATACTATGGGTGGGTGAATGATGCCTTCGGATATACTCTCCTCTTCGGGGGACCTGGTGGAAACTGTGGTAACTAATTAATCGATGCATATTTTCATGTAATTTCTTCGAAAGGAAAATATCAATAAAGGAGCAGTACTGGTTGATTTTAGTAGCATTTTTTATTTTGTGTATTTGAAAATTTGGGGTATATTTGATTGTGTTCTATGTTTTTTTGTTCTTAAAATTGGTTTGTAAAATTTGTTTGATAATATTGTTTTGAAAAGTGTTTCAAAATTTAAACAAAAAAATTTGTTTGGTAAATTTGTTCTAAAAATTTGTTTTTAAAGTAAAAGAACACAAAACTCGTTTGACTAAAAATTTGATGTAATTTACACGCCATGACATTGGTTCTCGCATGTAGGGGTGGTAAACAAATCAGGGGCCTTAAAGGAGCCTTTGGTCTGGCTCGTGAAGGTCTGGACTAAATTGGATGTTGAAATCAGACTTACTTCTATAAAAACTCGTTTAATAAAAAAGCCAGCCCTAATTCAAAAGTCTAGTCTTAGATCCTCTCAGGCTGGCCTAGTATTATTTTGCAATTACATAAGGATCTGTAGATGAATTTTTATATTGTTATGTTAATAAAGAAAAAAGTAATCTTGCATGTCTAATAACTTGATTTATTTTAGCTTTCGCATTTAATTGAGTTGTGCTTAATATTGTAATATGATAACAAATCATGTGCTTAATATTGTAATATGATAACAAATCCGGATGCATACATCTAGCATCAATATTAATGTGTTCGAGAATCGTATGCATGATGCAAACTAGAAAGATATAACTCAATAAACTCAACTTCATACAACCTAAGACTCTAAAAGTATTTAATATTCTTCAAGTGTCTTTATCTTTGAGTTTTCTAAGTCCTTTCTTCACTTGAATCATTGACTTTGTTGTTGACTTTGCACATTTGAATTACTTCTTCACTTTTACAAGTTACCTTGGTCTTCTAGTACCATTTGAGATTATTGCATTTCCATCTAACTTGTGCGTCCATGTTGAGTATAAAAACCCTAATTCTCAAATAGTTACATGAGAAATGTGTAAATTCTGTGACTGTTAAGAAAATTCTGTCAGTTGAATCATGAAACTATCATGGATGTAAGGATACAATTCATTTGGAGGCCTTTACACGATGCAAAATCTAATGGGAATGGAGTTTGGTTTGGTTAAAGTTTGATAAAAATATCTAAGTTAAAAAGGTGAAAAAGTAATAAAAACTAAACCTTTTAATTTCAAACCACTTGTCATCTTCCTATTCTTTCTTCAAGACACACTAAATATCTCTTCTCCTCCTCCTCCATGACCGTGGCATCCCTGGTGAGTTAGAGTGTAACACCTCATATGCACCCGGCGTATGAAACATACATATGGTAATGGCGCAGTTAAATAAATGCTATGAAACATACATATGGTAATGGCGCAGTTAAATAAATGCGGAAGCTAATTTTTTCTTTCCAATTATGATATCATTATAAATTAACCAAGTGGATTACTTACTCTTTTTCAAAATATTTTCTGTATGTAACTTCCAATAAATAACTAACTGAATAACCTCATAGAATAAATGTGTATCTAGTCACGGGACGTAGACCGGACAATATCCTGATACATTATACATCCCTAGACTAACTAAACATAACAGAGTCAATGTGGCATGGATAACCCCATGCTCACTAAATAAGGCAACAAGCCAAACAAAGTCTTGAATCCACTTGTAACACCCTCTCTTGTATGCATCCAAGAGAGTTGTTTTCTAAATCGTATTAGAGTGGGAGCGGTAAAGAACTCAATTTTTAAAAACTTAAGATGAAAGCTTATCCAATTTAAAAGTTTCAGGTTTAATTCTTCATTAAAAACCTTAGAGTGAAATTAAATTTCTTATGAAACAGTGGTAATTTCAAGAAAAAAACTGCTTGCTGAAATTTCTAAACTTTTCAGAAAACCTTGCTGTCTTATAAAATCTGTATAAAATCGAGTTCAACAGCTTAAAAAAATATTTAATGCTACGGAGAAACTAGACATCCGGGGCTTCGCGTACATATAAATTATAAGCGATTCGGAAGTGAATAGCCCCACGAAACAGAACTCGCAAGGTGCTCGCGAATTCAGTGTATTTTTCTAAAAACCTGCTTACTTGCAAAAATCATAATAAGTCGTGCTTACATAGTTTGAACATAATTTGTACATAATCTGAAAGTACACATCTGGGGCTTTACGTGCATATAAATTATGCCTCATTCGGAGGTCTGTAGCCCCAGAACGACAACTTGCAAAGTGCTCGCAAAATCAGTTTTCTAAAAAAAAACCAGCACTTAAAATAAACGTTCAAAAGTTATTTCCGCAAAACGTTTTCAGAATTATCCAAGGTACTAACTAATTAGAAAGTCTCAAAACAGTAACTAAATCATGCGTAAAAAATAATCCAACCTCTCAAAATATTTATACAGTCATCCAACAGTCAAACAGTAACAACAATTGTTCAAACAGCAGCACATAACAGCAAAATGTCCATATAATCATGTCTTCAAATGTTCTTCCGTCCTCCTGCCATTTTATAAAAATAGCAGCCCCAAAGGGGTGAGAAAAATCCCAGTAGTGTGATAACAAAACCTAATGCAACAGTACTAACCAGATACAGAATTACAAAACAGTCGCATCATCAGTTCAGATCCATCAAATACTAATCATGATCAAAGTGCGTATATAACGCCAGAAGTGTACGTTCATAGCACTACGGTGCACGTATCACTAACATAATATCATATTGCGTATATCACGCCAGAAGTGTACGTTCATAGCACTATTGTGCACGTATCACTAATAGAACAATGGAGAATCCTGGTGGCTCCTCAGAAGGGCTCCAACTGTACCTAAGCGGACTGAAGCCAAGTGTCCCAGAACCCTGGTACCGGGGTATGCCTATATGATGCGTGCTCAAAACGTATGCTTACTTTTCATAATTATTTTTAATTTAGAAATACAGCATGCTTAGACTCCCTTAAAGCGCACAGTACATGGATTAGTGGAGCTTTAGAATAAATTACCCGTGATGCTTTGATTAGATAAAACGCATTCTGTCTTGGTAAAACCTAATTTGGACTAGGTCCCTCTTGAATTAAAAATACAACATGACAACTAGGTCCTCCTTTGCGCACACCATGAGTAGAGAAACAAAAAATTTTATGAATAAAGTCTTGAATAATTTTTGTGTCAAAACCGATTCTGCCTTGGTTGGAAATCTTAATAAATTCTTGCTGTTAAACGTTGGTAAAGATTAAATTAAAGTCAGAATATATTTTTGGGAAAAGAACCATGATGGCCGAATGGGTTCAAAAGTCTTAAAACTTGGAAGATTATTGGTAACTCTTAGGAATAGCTTGGGATGTATTCTGATTTGTTCCACTTGTCAATTAGGTGCGCAAAACCATTGAGAATTTGGACTATTTCGCTGCTGTTTGGTAAATTTAATTCCGATCTGGGCTACCGAAAAGTAGATGCATCTTGTTAGTATAGGTAGTACCAATTAATTCTTATAAGTCTCCCAACTGTACCGTCCCATACCAGCACAGTCTCTGGAATCCCTCTCTTTCGGGTGTTGATTCGATTCATTCATGTACCCCCGTCCCTAGAAGCCTGCCAGGAGCCGCTCCTTGTCCGTGCCCTTGCGCATCGGCGATCACTCCCCGCCCTCGTCAGCGCCCGGGATGTTACATGCCCACCAGCTTCCGCCTGGTTCGTCCTCGAACCACACCGTACTGGATGAGAGGCCTTGCTCTGATACCACTTGTAACGCCTGGCAACTTGCAAGGATTAATGACTGTCCCCACACACTAACACGAGACTTTTCAGTGTGCTTTGTCCTCACTCGCACACTTCCCGGGAAAACTTCCCAGGAGGTCACCCATCCCAGAATTGCTCCAAGTCAAGCACACTTAACTGTGGAGTTCTTCCGATCTGGGTTACCAAAAAGTAGATGCATCTTGTTAGTATAGGTAGTACCAATTAATTCTTATAAGTCATTCCCAACTGTACCGTCCCATACCAGCACAGTCTCTGGAATCCCTCTCTTTCGGGTGTTGATTCGATTCATTCATGTACCCCCGTCCCTAGAAGCCTGCCAGGAGTCGCTCCTTGTCCGTGCCCTTGCGCACCGGCGATCACTCCCCGCCCTCGTCAGCGCCCGGGATGTTACATGATCAACTAATCACCACTTGACATATAATCACGCTCTGATCACACGGCCTCAATTCATCAACGATACTGAGGTTCCTGTCTCCTTAGAACTCAAGGATACAGAGGTACGAGCCTATAGAACAGATCCTCTTCAAGTAAGGTCGTACCTCTGTATCCTTGAGTTCTAAGGAGACAGGAACCTCAGTCTAGTTGATGAATTGAGGCCGTGTGATCAGAGCGTGATTATATGTCAAGTGGTGATTAGTTGACCATGTAACATCCCGGGCGCTGACGAGGGCGGGGAGTGATCACCGGTGCACAAGGGCACGGACAAGGAGCGACTCCTGGCAGGCTTCTAGGGACGGGGGTACATGAATGAATCGAATCAACACCCGAAAGAGAGGGATTCCAGAGACTGTGCTGGTATGGGACGGTACAGTTGGGAATTACTTATAAGAATTAATTGGTACTACCTATACTAACAAGATGCATTTACTTTTCGGTAGCCCAGATCGGAAGAACTCCACAGTTAAGTGTGCTTGACTTGGAGCAATTCTGGGATGGGTGACCTCCTGGGAAGTTTTCCCGGGAAGTGTGCGAGTGAGGACAAAGCACACTGAAAAGTCTCGTGTTAGTGTGTGGGGACAGTCATTGATTCTTGCAAGTTGTCAGGCGTTACAAGTGGTATCAGAGCAGGGCCTCTCTTCCAGTACGGTGTGGTTCAAGGACGAACCAGGCGGAAGCTGGTGGGCATGTAACATCCCGGGCGCTGACGAGGGCGGGGAGTGATCGCCGGTGCGCAAGGGCACGGACAAGGAGCGGCTCCTGGCAGGCTTCTAGGGACGGGGGTACATGA